CACAACACTACAAGGCAGTTATCCTTCATTTCAGATGAAGAAACTGAGGCACAGAAATCATATCAGTCTGGAGTTACATGACTAGTAGTAATGAAGCAGAGATTCAACTCTAGGCCATTATGGTAGCACAGCCCATCGTCAGAAATACTGTGCTATTATGTAAAAGTATTTACTTCATATATTACTATTTGATCATTTTATACTTTGAAGGTTTCCACTGTCCATTTTGTAGAGTTAGGAGAACAAAAATAAATTGGTACAGAAGGGAAAATAACTTTTCAAATACAGAATTTAAATTGGAAGCTTTCCTTTTCTAGCTTTCTGACAAACACATGTGTAGGTAGAAGGTAGGAAAAGAGGAGAAACTATGTTTATTTTAAACTCATTTGTCATAAAACTTACAATTTGCATAAGCAAAAAATAAAAATTTTAAAAACATGGGCTTATTTTTTGAAAGACATTTACAATATGATTTTAAATATTGGGTTGAGGGGCTGGGAAGGTGGCTCGGTGGTAGAGTGCTTGCTTTGCCTGCATGAGGCCCTGGGTTCGATTCCTCAGCACCACATAAGCAAAAAGAAAAAAGCCAGAAGTGGCGCTGCGGCTCAAGTGGTAGAGCGCTAGCCTTGAGCTGAAGAGCTGAGGGACAGCGCCCAGGCCCAGAGTTCAGGCCCCACGACTGGACGCCCCCCCCCCCCAAAAATAATATTGTGTTGAAAAGGTATACTAAAGCTTTGATTATATAGTACTATGACTTTAAAATCTTTATAATATTTTTAATGAAAGAAGAATATGATTGGGACTTAGGTAAGAAGACAAAATTACAACATTTAAATCACAAACAAGCTTCTCTAGGGTAACTGTTTTTTTTCCATGATAGGATAATCACTTTGTTTCTCAAGGGAAATACCATTGACTTAATCTGTGTACTGCATGCCAGATACTAAAAATGCAAAAACCTCAATCAGGTAAAATGTCAGCACAGCGTATCTAACTCAAACCTACTGCAAAGAAAACAAAACAACAACAAAAATGAGGTGTGGTGGCATGTGCCTGTGATGCCAGCATTTGAGAGACTGAAGCTAGAGGATTGTGAGCTCCAGGCAGCCCCAGTTACCCAACATGTCTGTGTCTCAGGAAGGGATGGGAGGAGTGAGTTGATTTGAAAGGCTCTACAGTTTCACACTTTACATGCTCTAATATTACAGACACAAGGAAATGCAGACCTATCATAATTTGTACTTCCTTTCAACATCTGCATGACGAGAGGTTTAGAATAACAACATAATTCTTTTCTCTTCCTAAAATCTATAAACATTCAATTCATATTGCTAAGGTCATTGACACATCTACTGCTAAAGGTTGGTATTTAGGAAAAGTGAGATCTTTGATTAATGAGAGAGCAGACCTGGCATCTAGGAACTCTGTCATGTTGAATGCTAGCAGTAACTAAAGGAGACTGTCTGGCAGTGCTTCTGCAAATCTCATGCCTACACTGATTTCTCCTGGAAGGCCAGCACATTTTGTTGGCTAATGTGTAACTACATTGGATATATATTCAACTCATCTTTCTATGTTTCTCAGGTAAATGCTTTTATCTGATGTTCTTCTGGTCATTTGGACTACTCCTATTTCTTCTAACTCTGCAGTCACCAAATGTTGGAATCACTTTCTTCTTTTACCTTGCCAAGTTTTGCATCTGCAGAATGAAGTTAATCCTATGATTTTCTACATAGCTTTTCTGGAAGAACTGTGTAAAACTCTGATGTGAAGAGTTTCTCCAGGATATAAATGTTATTGCCATCATCTATGAGTAGTAAAATTATGTCCTCCATTCGTCTGTCCATAATTATAACTAGAATTTAATGTTAATCTGATTATGTTCTTGTCTCTCCCTATGTACCCATTAATGTTTTACTATAAAGATCTTTTAATTACTCTTGCCCTTTTAACAAAACTGATTTCAAGCTCCTTAGATAGGCTACATTTACTCCATGAGGATTCTTGTCCACAGTGTTTCCCTTGTTGAACCTCTCTGCTTCAGTTTAATAGTGTCCATCAGACATCTGCGGAGAAGTCACTTCCTTCCTAAGTCTGGTCACTCTATTTCACCTTCTCATTGCAACACATTCCTCTCCTAGAACTGAGTGTTCAATTACAGGTTCATATGAGTAACTGCCATTTATTTATTAATTTATTTATTGTCAGTCATGGGGCCTAAACTCTGGGCCTGGGTGCTGTCCCTCAGCTCTTCAGCTCAAGGCAAGCATTCTACCATTTGAGCCACAGTGACACTTCCTTCTTTTTCTGCTTATGTGGTGCTAAGGAATTGAACCCAGGGCCTCACGCATGCAAGGCAAGTACTCTACCACTGAGCCACCTTCCCAGCCCAATTTACTTTTTCTATACACTTGTGTTTTTCGTTTAAAAGACTTTTCAGAATAAGCTCCTGTTAATAACCCTATCCAAATATTTCCTTTCCTGCAAAGGTTTATTTTATTGTATGTGTTTGTGTGTGTTAGTACGGGTGTTTAAACTCAAAGAGTGTCATACTTTCTAGGCAGATGCCCTACCGCTTAAGTCATACCTCCAGCCCTACAAAATGCTTTTCACTGTCTCTACCTCAGAAAACACAGCACTATTTTTCCAGTTAGTCAAGCTACATAAACCCTTAGAGTCTTTCACACTCCACAGCCATTAGTAAATTCTATTGCCTACCCAGAATTCAACCACTTATCCCCCTTTCCATTGTTACATTGTGGTCAAAGCCACACCATTATTTCTGGATTGTTCTAACACCTCAACACATTTTGCCTCTTTCTTTGTCTCTCTACTACTTACTTGCCCATTTATAATGTGGTAGAGATATTGATCCTTTACAATCATGTATCATCTATCCATGGGGATACCTTATGACATGGGTAATTTCTGTAGGAGACTTTGCCGCTTGGAATTATCATAGTGATGATAAAACCCTAAATAGACCTATAAGTATAGGCTAATAGAAACTTGGGCTTTATAACACAGTGTATAGTCCTTGACAACAATCTGTACATCAAGTAACTAAACTGAATACTGTTAAGTGTAATGTAATAGTATGTGTGTCCAAATATAGAAAAAGTAAAAGGAGCTAAGAATGTTTTCAACTTCATTATGGTTTTATAGTGCTGCCTTCCTGAAACACCATGTGGCATGTAACTATACAGGTTAGATGTCATTCTTCTACTGAGGCCCTCCAAGGACTTGACAAATGGTGTAGAATGAATTGTGATACCCCAATATTGATACTGTTGCCAAGTGAGAGGCAAGAGCGTTCTCTCAGCCTCCAACTTTCCATGTACAATCACGGGTAATTGATATTTACAAATGTACAACATCACAAGGTGTCTTACAAAAAAAGTGTCTCATAAGATAGTTCAGCAAGGACTTATTTCAGTATAGAAAGATAATGTCTGGAGCAATTTTAAAAAAAAGAAAGTAAGCATTTCTTGCTGCACATACAAGAAATAGAAAGATTGTGCTTCAGTTAGAAATCAGCACAGGCAGAAAGTTCCTGAGACACTATATCAAAAAATAACCAGAAAAGTCTGGTATTGGTTGCTTACATCTGTAATCTTACCTACTCAAGAGGCTGAGATCTGGAGGATCTTGGTTCAACATTAGATCATACAGAAAAGTCCATTAGATTCTATCTTCAAAATAATCAGCAGGAATCTGAGCTGGAAGTGTGGATTACATGATAAGAGCAATAGCCTAGCAAACCAGAGGCTGTGGTAAACCCCTGTCTTGCCAAAAAGCATATCAACAATAAAAGATGGAGATGTGATCTTGGCCTACCTAAAACATGGGGACAATGCGTGATTTTAGGACTTTCTTTCTGCTAGGCTTATCTTCCAGTTCTACTTCTTTATGGTGTTAAAAAGCTATGTAAGCCGGGTGCTGGTGGCTCAAGCCTGTAATCCTAGCTACTGAGGAGGCTGAGATCTGAGGATCGAGGTTCAAAGCCAGCCTGGGCATGAAAGTCTGTGAGACTCTTATCTCCAAAGAAAAACCCACTAGAATACCGGAAGTGGTGCTATGGCTGAAGAGCTGAGGGACAGTGCCCAAGCCCAGAGTTCAAGCCCCATGACCGACAAAAAAAAAAGCTATGTAACATCTCAAAGAAGGCATATGTCTATTTATGTCTCCCAATTCTTGAACTAACATTTGGAGAGGAGCTTGCTAGTCTTTTTTACTTTCTGGTTTTCATCTCTGATGTTAATCTAGCCCTTTTAGTATTTAATTTTAATTTCTTCTCTACTACCTAAGGTTACATGGAGAAGGTAGCTGTCTGCAAGCCAAAAAGAGTCTTCCCTGAACCTGACAATATTGGCACTGATTTCAGACCCTCTAGCCTCCAAAACGAAGACAAACTTTGTGTTAAGGTACCTAGTCTGTGGTATTTGTTGTGGAAGCCTGCACTAACTATATTACTCCACTCAGACTGAAATGTCAAAGCACATTCAAATAGCCCTTTAAAGAGGTCCTGTACCTTCTGGCCCATCATGTTCCCTATCTCCAATGACTCAAATGCCTTTGATTCTTCGTGTGTGTGTGTGTGTGTGTGTGTGTGTGAGAGAGAGAGAGAGAGAGAGAAGGGGGGAGGGAAGAAGGGGAGGGAGGAGTGTAAGCTTCTCTCTCAGGTTAGAGATAAGGCTGCCCCCAGATGGGTTTCTTCAGATTGGTTTCAAATCTTGATCCTGAGATCTCAGCCTCGCCAGTAGCAAGGATTACAGACACGAACCACACAAGCCAATCCCATGGGCAGCCCAAGTGGGAAGACACCCTGTTTAAAGATTACCTGCTTTTTTTTGGCTTTCTGCTATTAGGCAAGCTCAGGAAAAGCTTCAGAAACTATTCTGGTTACATGATGCAAGAGTTGTTCTAGCTCCGTCTTTAAAACGCAGATAATGAAATGAATAAGACAGTTGTTAAGGTAAAAAAAAAAAGATCATGGCTACCTTAATTTCATAAATATTGCCTAGTTGTTGTTCTCGGTCACAGAACTTCTGTATTTGCGAACTCTGCGGCGCCTTTGATGGTGCTGAAACGATTCAGTAGAAGATATTTACCTCCATAAATTGAATTAAGACATATATACATATATGTATGTGTGTGTGTGTGTGTGTGTGTATGCATAGTAAGAACACAGATAAAGGGCAGCTAGGGGAGGTCACCAGTGGGTGGGCAGTTGGGGAACGATGAGGATTTCCCTCCATGTTACAGAAGAGAAGTCAGGCCCGCGGAGGAGCAGCCCTCCCGGGGCTCCCAGCGGGCCCTTCCTCACAGCTCAACCCCAGCAGAGAGGTCTTCCCCGCGGCTCAGGCTCAGCTTCCCACCCGGCAGGCTGCGAACTGTCCTCGACCCTCCTCGTCTCCCCGCTCACCTCCAACCGTGTAACACGCAGGTGTGAGCTCCGTGCGGACACACCCACGGCGGCGCCCGCGAACGCGGCGGAGGTCGGCGGGGTGGGCTGACCGGGCCCGGGGCGG